TAAGAAATTATATACTGTTGTTTATAATTTATGACAAATTATATATATATATATATATATATATATATATATATATTATTGAATTTATAAATAAATATAATAATAAAATAAATAAATATTGTATTTGTATCTGTAAGAATTAAAAATATATTTGCAATAATTTAAATAATAAAAAACCTAAATGTTTATAAATATTTCTAACAAAAAATATTAAATATATCTCAATACTTTAATATTATAAATTCATATGAATCGGATCATGATTATATGCTATTATCATAACATATAATCATGAATTTTTGAAAATTATAACGGGGCGAGCGTAGCCTAATGGCTAGCGTACTCGCCCCCCACGCCAAGGATACATGGTTCAAGCCCCCCCGCGTTGGCATGAAATTTGTGCTCTCAAATTGAGAAATAAAATATGGACTTTGAATAGTTGAGTCTGAAAATTTGGAGTACGAAGAGCAAAAATATTGAAATACACGAAGTCAAAAAGGAAAAATGAAGAAATAAGTAGAAGAAGGAGTTGAGTTAGAATTAAAGGCTGCAAGATAGAAAAAAACTCACTAGAATGAAGGAATCAGTAAAAAAAAATGTATAATAAATAAATGTAGAGAAAGATTGTGAATAACAAAAATCAAAAATTAATAAATAAAAAAATGTTACTTTATTTTTTTTACTTTTTTTACATTTTTCTTAAATTATCCATTTTTGGCAAATATTGATGTAGAAAGTTTCGTGAGAAATTGTTAAGTTTAAGTTAAAATTTAATGTGAGAAGTAAGAAAAAAAAGATTAGAACACGCGAAGAAAAAAAAAGAAGAACAAAAAAAATAATCAAAGGAAAGAAGTTAAATAAAAGTTAGAAGATAAAAAAAAATGTAAGATTAAAAGAGAGAATGAAGAAGTCATTTGAAGAAAAAAAAAATGTATAGCAAATAGGATGTAAATATGAAGAGAAAGAGATAGATTGTATATGATATAAAATATATTATAAAATGCAAAGAAATGAAAAGTTACTAGTAAGCGAGGCCGATTTAAATGAAATAAATATATTCTTTAAACATACTATATTTTTCTTAAATTATGATTTTTTCATCCATTTTGCTAACAAAAAATGTATGAATAGTTTACCCACTACAAAGCACGCTATATATAAATGTTCCTGTGTAATATTAATAGCCTTTGCAAGTGCCAACCTGATCTCAAGCTGATTCTATTTAAACTGATTTTCAATGTTTAAAGTTTCTAGAGTTTGATTTATTATTACCGCGCTTCTCAATAATTTATTAATTTTTGAATTACGAAGCAAATTCCGTTATTCGTTTATAAATTATATTGTTATGTGCAATAATTAAAATAATGAAAAATCTAAATGTTTATAAATATTTCTAACAAAAAATATTGCTCTGAAGCAAATTGACAGACGTGTTACGTGTGACACGTAACACGGTCTCCAAACAAACAACATGTTTCGTTTGGAATAAGCTTTTTTATAATAAAACATATTATTTATTTTTATTTATTTTAATTTTACAATTTTCAAAATTTTCATAACTTGACGTCTTTTCAATTTTTTGTTTCATATTTATTTTTTCGTTGCAATTTTGTGTTGTTCTTTGTGTTATTTTTTAAAATTTATTTGTATGCACTGAAGATGGGTCAAATCTAGACCCGAAACGTATGTTCCCTTAATAAAAACATTTTTCATTAAAACTGTTTTTTAATTATTCGATGGATGCCCAAGAAACAATTTTATCATATATATATACATATATATATATATATATATATATATATATATATATATATATATATATAGTGTGTGTGTGTGTAGTAGTTGTAGCTAGAATGTAGCAGGTAAAGGTTTTCGCCTAATCGAAATGAAATATCTTTCATCCTGATTAAAATTCCTAGACCAAAATTAAATTAAATTCATTGCTCGATTATGAGATCGAGTGAAACCGCACTTCCATTTTCACATTTCATTCGACATCATTAGAATAGAATTCGAAAATCATTATTTCGATTTATATATTTTTAGAAAATTGTCATGAATGTACATAGAACACGATTATCAACAATAGACTCTAGAAGAAAAAGTCTTATAATATACGCATTTAAGAGTAAATATTAAGATTTCACTCTATAAACCTTCATCAGGTCCAAATTTAAAGAAAATGCATCATTCTCGTACAATTGAACTCCGTTCTCTCAAAAACTGAGTTACCATTTTTGGCATTTTTGCCTCGTATCTTCGAAACGACTGGGTCTGCCTTTGTCAAAACCTGATTAGCACGTCCCCTATCAGTAGAAATCGAATGTTTTTTTAATAATTGAAATCGGTTGATCCGTATTCTCGAAATTGTCGACAAAAAATTATATCCGCATATGCATACATACATATATTAGGTTGTCAAATATCTCCCTTTCGCTTTTTTGCTCTTGGTTTATAATATAAAAAGGCGGAAGGGAGATATTTGACAACCTTATACACACACAATTAGTACATATACACACTTCCAATTAGCACAACAAAAAAGTAAAGCTGTTCTTATCACGAGTAGAAAAACAATAGAGATCATCAACCTGAAGATAGGAACTCTCATAGATAAACAAGTATAAACTGGGAACTCTAGAGACCACGTCAAAACCTCACATCTGTTACCTTGGCGTAATGTTTGATGCTCAATTGAATTTCAATCAACAGAGGTAACACGTTAGTGCTAAGGCGTCAATAGATAAGACGAGACTTGCTCGACTGATGCCTAATGTTGGAGGCCCAAAACAAACCAGAAGGATATTACTATCATTAGAGCTTACGTATGGTATCTCCATATGAGCTGATGCTCTCAAAACTCAAAAATCGAAAAGAATGGCAGGACTTATATATCGCCTGAGTGCTTCAAGAGGTGCTTGCGCATTTCGCACAATATCGGAGGAAGCAGTGTGCGTCATTTCAGAAACTCTGCCTTCTTTTAGTCTTAGCAGAAGAAAGACGGACAATTTACCATCGAAGACATTAACAAATCAGTCCTGAAAAGTTGAGAATAGAAAAACGGCAGAACAGCATTGACCGATGGCAGCAACTGTGGGATTTTGCAGTGATAGGCAGATGGTTGCATCGTCTCATTCCAAATATCAAAGTATGGCTAAATCGCAAGCATGGAGAATTGAATTATTACACTACGCAAATGCTATCTGGGCACAGAAGTTTTCAAGCCTACCTACACCGCTTCAAGCACGATAGCTCGTTGGATTGCCCATATTGTTTGGGCGAAATCGAAGATGCTGAGCACGTGATCTTCGTGTGCTCGCGATTTGATGCTCTACAGGACGATGTAGAAAAGATATTGAGGCAAAGAAATACTGCAGATACTGTTGTTGAAGTGATGCTGACAACTGAAGCTGCTTGGAACGCCATAGACAGATTTGCGAGAGATGTGCTAATTGACCAGCGTTCTATGGAAAGAAAAAGGGCAAATGGGACTTCGCACAATTAAAAGCTAAGTATAAAATCAAGGTAAGAATTTTAACATTCTAGATCCTCCCCCCACGAAGTAATGCCTAACGGCGGTTTCCGTGCGGGCAAAAGGCAAGGGCAAAGCGGAGGTTTTAGTCAGTATTATACCCGGGCGGTTTTGAGTCCGACATACTCAGACAAAACACCAGTCTGGGATGCATAAAGATATTTCCTTCGCTATACAAAAAAAAAACATACACACATGCAGAAATTCATTTTTTTTCTAAGGTATGTCAAAATGTTCAGAAGCTTTAACGTAAAGATATATATATATATATATATATATATAAATTTTATTTTTCACTACGGGAAGTTAAAAATAAAAAAAATAAAAAATTAATTACGATACAGGAAGTTCCAGAAATTTGCCTTAAGGGGGTCTTCCTATGAAAAAATCGATTTTTTTTTCATAAATTGCGCCCTTAACATGTCTAGAATACGGTAGTAAAGCGATTTTAGAAAATTCCAAGTCGTTTTAAAGATACAGCAGGTAAAAGAAAGAGCGGTTCGTAGTAGTTTTTAACGGACTTGAAACTTTAAACGCGTTTTTCTCAAAACTGTGTTTTTCAAACTTTCCTCCATTGTATCTCAGAAACGGCTGGAACGAATTACTTGAAATTTACAGGGCACACTCAATATTTTTAAACGCATGGAATGAACTGTTATCAATCGAAAATTTTCAAAACTTCGATTTTTTTTATAGCAAAAAACAAAAAAAAACGCCTAATTTACAACTTTTATTTCAAATGTCTATCAAAAATCCAATTTTTTTTATATTCATTTGATTATACGGTCATTCCGTGCTTTTAAGCCTACAAATTAAAACGCCGTTTATTTTATTTTTTTTTTTCAGATAAGCCGATCAGCCGGAATCGTGGAGGAAGTGGGAGCTCTTTTTTTCGAGGCGCGGGTGTTCAGAGCGCTGTAACTCTAGTTTGACTGAATATTTTTAGCTGAAATTTTATATTTATACTGTCCAAATATGTGTTAATAAATGATAAAAAACTTGAAGCTCTAAATATTTACTGGTCGTAGTAAAAAAAAACTAAAATATCCCTAAAAAACAGGCCGTCACATAGGAAGACCCCCTTAAAGCACAATGCCATGCGTCACTAGTTAGACTGTTATTGAATTGAATATTGTTCCGAGTTATAAAAATTTCCGGGATAAACAAATAATTATTCAGCTCGAGTCCTTTTCCCCGTTTTTTTCTTTTCCCGCGCAACGTCATTCGCTAAGTAACGGCATCGTCCACGTATTTTACGGGCAGCACTTGTTAGCGAGTAGACTCGCAGGATGGCCATCATATAAAAGTAACTGTCAACTGCGCCGTACTGTCAGAATCGCTAGAGCGTGCGTACGTGAGAGATCGCTCTGTCAAAATGACGTTCCAAACATTGAGTAAATAGACAAATCAAGTGCAAAAATGAATAAAGGAACTATTGTAAATAATAACAGTGACGTGATATTTTCCTAAATATGTAATTTTCAACTCAAATAGAAAATCAATGCCAAATATTAGTATTTTCAATATTATATTTTTATAGGTTAATTTTTTACTTTAGGACTAAATTAAAAAGTGATATATTTTAAATTATTTTTATTAATTTCTAATCATGGGTGAACTAGCCTATTTAGAATCTCTTGTACCAGTTATAAATGAAAATGAAGATATTATACACAAGTTATATCCGGCGTTAATAGAATGTTTTGCAGTTATAATATGCGGGTAAGTAAACTTTTAAAACATGAATGAAATTTTTATTAATATTCAATAAATAATAGATAGCAATTAAAAAATAATAGTATAGATCGTGTACTCTATGTAAATTCTATCTTCGTCGTAAACTTTCCTTAATACGTAAATTCAGCAAGTCACTTAAATTAATTTTATCTTAAGTAACGTTTTGTATTAGAGAGTTCAAAATAAACAGTAATTATTTATTATTATATATTTATAGTTTTTCTATAGAATTATTGCAAAATAATATGGCTACGCATTTGATGTGGAGCAACAAGTATTGATTTTTAGCAAGCATATGCCAAGATATATATATCTTTCTATATATCTATATCTATAATAATATATTCAATTAATATATATAATAGAACTGTCGGTCTATTAAATATAAATAAAAACTAGTGCTGCAGATGACATCGTGTCTTAAGGCAAATTGCTGCAACTTTCTGTACCGTAAAGATTATACCCTGAATGAAAATTGAAATCCCAACAATTTTAGATATTTAAAAAAAAAAATTGGAACTTAATAAAAATGAAATTTTGAATTTGTCTTCCTCAAAAACTTTATTCATTTTTCATAATTCTTCTTCACACTGTCAACACAAGCAAAATGTTTTTTAAATTAGCTGATTCGTTATAACCGCTTTTTACACTACAGTTCTTTACACTTTTATGCGTATCTCCGAAACTACTAACTTTGCCAAAAACTAATCACTACGTCTCCTTATCAATAGAAATCGATTTTTTTTTTAATCATTTAAATCGTTTGATCTGTTTTCTTGAAAACGTAAGCGAAAAATTGTATCCACACATGCATACACACACAAACACATATACACACATTTATTTTTCTAAGGTATGCCAAAATGTTTAGAAACCTCTGAAACATAAAGATATGCAGAAAAATTTCATCTTTTGGATGATCAGTATAACGTGAGTGAAGTAATAAATGCAACTGAATGAATTAACAAATGAAATTGATTTTAAATCAATTCTATTATCATATAAACAATTAATATCATGCTCTTACTGAATTACTCATAATTATCTACGAAAATTATATCAATTAGGAAATTATCCTTTCAAAACGAATGAAATATATTTAATAGAATCAGAACTAACTCCTTATTTTAATTGGATTCCTAAAAATTGAAAATACTGGAAAACAAAACCTGAAATACTCTTTTAAATTAATCAATTCATTTAAAACTTCATTTTTATGGAGCTATAAATTTTGTAATCTGTATATAGTACAACTACATTGCATATAATAACGTCGAATGCGTGAGAAAGTCTGTCGTGTTTTAGAAAAAAATCTATTCTATGTGACTGAAAACGTAAAAATCTTAAGAATGCATAAAACTATTACTACTACTAAACTTCATCACTATTTTATAATAATTAATTGCTATTTCAAAAGGCAATCAATCGCCAATTCACCACTAATAGAGGTACTCGCAAGTAAATTTGATGATACCTTAACTTTATTATTCAAAATTTCGTTCATCGTCTTGTCGACTCGTATCATATAATTGAAAATATATGATTTTATATATAATGAATAATATTCGTTATGAGCCTCTTCAAATCAATTTGAATAAATATTGTATATGGAGTAATAAAAACAATCCATATCATCGTGCGAACAAAAAACGTTATGTTATTTGAAAAGCATTTTGACATTTTCTGGAACACTTGATTTATTTAAGAGTTATGTTTAAAAGAGTGGCCGTTGAAATCTATATTCAATTAAATGTAATAATTGTGAATATAAGTTGACTTAAAAAAGTACAAATTCTAAAATTAAATTACCATCCGACTATTTACAGAGCATTGACAGACAATACCACATCGAACAAATATGTATTAAAATTATAAAAATTAAACTATTGTTGATTACGATAGAAATACGTTTTCTAATTTATCTATCATAAAAAATAACCATGTTCTGCTAATAAAATACACATATAAAGTAATCATCAAAAACGTGAGTCGATAGAAAATATGTTGCGGTTACGGGTAACTAACCTACACTAAATGCTCAATAAAATTTCGTTAACGTAATATGACCTGTAGAATCTAGTCACATAAAATTTATTCTTTCATTTATTTATTAATTTCCCGTAGGGTAAGTTACAGTAATCGTCCCAAAATGAACATTTTTGCGTATTTTCACGTTTCGAAGGTTTTTGAACATTTTGGAATACACTAAAAAAAATTGATGTTGTATGATTGTATGTATGTATGGATACAATTTTTCGTCAAAACCGATTTGAATGATTCAAGCATAATTCGATTTCTATAGATAGAGGATGCTAATTAGTTTTGACAAAGGAAAGTTCAGCTGTTTCGAAGTTAAGTAGCAAAAAGTAAGAAAATAGATGTGTAGCGGGGGCATCGGATTATAAGATTCAAAAAATATTCGATTTGTATTGACAAGGAATGTAGATTAGGTTTTTTTGCAAAGGCAGCTCCAACCGTTTCGGAGATACGGAGCCGAATAATAGCAGTTATTTAGAGAACGAGAATAGACAATTTTTAATTGAAATGATTAATTTTTGGAAAAGGAAAAAAAGTTGCATTTCAAAATTTCAAAAAAAGTTATAAAATACTAAAAGAACAAATTGAATTTTTCCTCTCTTATTTCCGCAAGAAACTTTGGTTGGAGTGCCGACTATCTTAAAGTAATGTTAAGAGCTAGAACTTCCAGAGACTCTTTTTATCGAGTTGGAAGCATTTGAGCCCTGGGAGCAAAGAAATTTGAAAATATCCACAATCATTTATACTAGAAATATTTTTTATGACAAAACAACGTTTGCCGGATCAACTAGCATATATATACACTTCTATATAAATAATTGTTAAATGCATTTGTCTATATATATTTATTTATAAGCGGTCACCACACGAAATTGCATAGGGGTCATTTGAACATCAAACAAATGAGTAATCATCGTACATTAATGAAACATCACAAACGCACGTTTAAACAACAAATATAATAAATTATTTTGACCTTTGTTTGTGTTTTATGGTTGAATTGAATTGTCATATCATGAGAATAGTGAATCAAAAATATCATCTCATTATTATAATTGAAGGTATGAAATGATTTACCAATATATTTATGGTTCGCCTACATATTTGTTAGTTTTACATTCAATCGAGGTTTAAATAACTTTATCTTGTTCGGTTTGTTATCCATCTACCCATACTTTTGCCTTTTCTCTTCTAAATTAAATGACAAAGTTCTGAAACAATAACTGACGCAATATGAATCTATGAGCATGAATTGAATATTTATATTTGGAACTTTTATTAGTCAAAATAAAATTCTAAAACAATTAGTCAAAATTAAATTCTAAAGCAGAATCAGAAAGAATTTCTGATTGTAACACTTATATAAAGTTCTGTAAGAACATAAACATGTACTATTAAATCATTAATTTCTAAATATTTAATGAAATTAATTTATCTTTTTATATCTATTTAAATAATTAATATACCAAAGCCAAATATGTTGCAAACTATGATATATTATTATTAGTTGTTTTAGGAGCGAAGTCCTAAAAAGTAACGATTTCAATTCTGTAAGTCTCTACATATAATTCAATATTCAGATTTCTTGCAATTTTCATTCCATCTATAATCCAAAAAATGAAAAAAAGGAAAATGATTTAATTTAAAATTTGCTTTTTTAATAAGTAATAAGTATTTTTTTTAATAAAAAGTTTTTACATCAGATATATTATTTAGAACGCATGTCATGTAGTTATATGAGCAAATATATAATTTCGTGGATAAAAAACACTAGATTCTGAAAATGGGATTATCAAAAATGTAATGCTATAACAAAAATAAATACAACGAATAATAATCGGTAGGAAATAATAAAAAGAACAAACGCCCTTTATTTTTGAAGCTTAAAGTTGTATTATTTCTATTTTATTTTAAGTAAAAATTTACCGAATATATCCCTTAGTTTTAATTAGGACTGCAGAAACTAAATATAAGTTGCTACTAAATCTTACAAAAATATACACTAAGAGCAGGTGTAATCGATGTGATTTTGCAAAGTAATGCAAAGGAAAAACATCAATTTACTTCAAAATCTTCCACTCACACAATTGAGACGAATTGTTATTATGTTCTATGTGATTGTGATATAATATGCTTCGTTATAATTATACCTATTGTGTATACCTCTTTTAAATTTGTTGACAATATTATTAATTCACTATTTAAAAATTTACATTTGTCATTTATAATCCAATAATGTTACAACTCAAAGTACTAAGACGAAAACAATTGTAAAATAAATATATGTATAAAATTAATTGCTTTATTAAAAATAATTGATACTCATTATATGCTGTAAAATAATTAAAGTATGTTTTTGTGGAACATTACAGGATTTGCATTACTTGTTGTCTAATACACAATGTACTTTATGTACGTACAACATATAGTCAGTTCAAGTTCAAGAGAAAATTATTGTGTTCCTCAGTTATTATGTTTAATAAATTAACTGCGTATTTTATAATTAGCTATTACGAAAACAACATGAAATTATGGAAAAATATAGTGAACTCTTGAGATTTGCGAAGAATTGTCAAGGATCGTTTATACCTGATATAATTTCAGATTCATTTTATATATATATATATATATATATATATATATATATATATATATATATATATATATATATTTAGAGCGGGTCGATTTGTATAATAGGGATTGGATAATAGAGATCAAAATAAGATACTTTGCTGCAGAAACCATACCTCTAAAATGAATTCTGATGCCCCGTGCATTGATCCAAAAATAAGGGTTAAAATTTGAAAAATTCCATTTCGACCAATTTAGAGTGCTCCAATCGCGCCCAAATGTATGACAGACCCCACTAATTTGGGAAGTCCAATCCACCCATGCCCGTGGATCACCCCCTGGGACCCCCCCCCCTAATAGGTTATTCAAAATTTAAC